GAAAAAAATAATAAAAAAATGAATGCGGAAAAAAATCGCAAGGCGTTGGTTTTTTTATACAAAAATGCAGAAGCGAGGCAGAAAAAGGTTATGCAATCAGAATTTATCTGCTAAATTCAGAAGATCTTTGATCCCTGTTCGCAATATGGTCTGTTAATTTTTGACAGCACCTGGATAGTTTGTAACCTCTTATAGCAGAGAAGGTGTGATAGTGGCTTCAGATTCCCACCAATCTAATACATTCTCATGGTCCAAAAGAGATCAATCTTTCGATTTTAGAGTAGAGTTGTACAGGGCACGATATTTTCTGAGCGATAACCACAACGTATCTGTACCGTACGAACTACTTGCGCCCTGGCAGTGTGGAGACATATCCCGATCGGGATGTACCCCCAATCGGGATCTATCATTTTTGCAGCGAAATTTTGTCTATACCCCGAACGGGATATAGTTTGAAATTATATTCCGATTAGGATATAATTCGATATCCCGATTGGGATATCAGTTGTCCTTTTTATCTTTCTTGCAGTACTTATAACTTTTTTTTTTCTGTAGATAAAAAATTGGTATTGTACACATATGCACAAGAAGCCAATTTATTTGTAGAAAATTATATACAACACTATCAAACAACGGGAAGTTTGTATTACCCGATTAAAGCATGTGTTGCCGCTTTAAACAAAGCGGCTTATATATCAAGAAATCGGGTTCTTAAGTATATGAATTCCATGTAAGAAACCCTTTCAATGTTAATAATAGTTCATTTGTTAATATTTTTGTTTTTTAGAAATGGATTGATTATTGTCGATAAACAAGATGGTAAGAAGACAAAAGCTGATGACCAGTATGTTTAAATCTATTCTTCAATTCTAGGAACAACGGTGAAAAAAGACGAAGAAGACGAAGAAGACGATGATGACAAAGAAAATGAAGAAGTAGAAGAAGAAAAGAGTGATGAAGAAGAAAAGAAGAAAAGAAATGTGGCCAAGAAAGTGGCGAAAGTAAAGAAGTAAGTGGTACAATGTTCTCTTCTTTTCCTTTACTAATTTTCTTTTTCTTTTAGAAGTTTGGAAGACGCATTATCGAACGAACGGGTTTTAACAAGAATGCGAAAAAGAAATATTCGCAATTAAAAAAACTTGTTTTTTAGAGAAAAAAAACTCTATTTTTGTTTTTTCTTTTTTCTTTTTTTGTTAAACTCTCTTTAGCGAGATGAACCGAAGTGAATGTACTCTATAACAGCGTTGCTTTATGGTTCTAACTAGATATAAATACACATGCTTGACGTATTCCCATTCTCTGACAGGGAAAAAACCCTTTGCTCATTGCAAAT